AATCATGACCGGGGCGTTCAGGGAGACTGCGGTTAGAGGCAGGTTGGCCTTAGGAAGCCCCAGAGGCCCCCAGAACACGCCCAGGAGGCCTCCAGAAGGCTTTAAGAAAGCCTGAGAACTTTGGTGAGGCCCCCAGAGGCTCTCCAAGGAGGAGCCTCCGCAAAAAGAGCTGAGGAGGATGGGGAGAATACCCAGGGTATGGCGAGAATGACGAAAAATAAGCATGGAGGAGTCAGAACGAACGAACAACATTATTATAACGGCGATGCCATAAAAGGCAGCAAGGAGTTATCGCAACATGGTCCGCTTGACCTTCCTGCCATGTCCGCCTGCATACCAATATTCAAGGACCAAGGTGCATGGCGCGAAGCGCCACTGCAGTCTTGTATGTATATATACATCTATATATATATATATATATATATATATATGTGTGCCACTCGCGAGCAGGCTGCCAGGAAGCTGCAAGAGCTTTAGAACTCTCGGGTTCTAGGATTCTGGGGCTCTAGGGTTCCAGAGTTTCAGGAGTCTTAGTGTTCCAGGGTTCTAGGGTTCTTGGGCTCTCGGGGTTTAGGGTTCTAGACATGATGTGGCCAGCTGGGTCGAGAGCTGGACACACATGTGTCTGGATGTCTTTCCAGCGCTCGGCCTTTCCATGGACATGTACGCTGGGCTTCCACGTATGTCTCCACGCCTCCACTCTTTCTACATGTGTATCCAGCCACGTGTGTTCCCAACTTAGCGACGAAGGAAACCAGGTGGCGAGTCAGTTGCCCGCGCAAGTTCGCGCGTAAGCGCCCTCGTTGAAAACGTTAGCGTGCCGCGCTGGCGGCCCGCGTAAGGCACCGCGTAAGGTCGCCAGGCCATCTCGCGTAAGACAAATTGCTTTCGTCGCCAGGGGAGTGCGATTCTGTTGTCTTCAGCGCGGCTCGCTTACATCAAAGTGGTTTCCCAAACCGGTTTCGTTTCCGCAGTGTCTGCGCGAAGGTGCATCGGAACCCGCACGGAGGATGGGCAGCAGAAGACGGCACCAACACATGCAAGAGGTTGTGTTGAGCACCCAGGTGCTTGCTGCGAGTTCCGCCACCGTGCCAGCCAGCGCGGCATTCTTCGTGGCGACCTTCCAGGAGCTTCCCAGGAGACCGCACCATGCGACAGATTTGGGCATCAGAGGGCCGCATCATGCGGCTCGCTCTTACGCAGTCTCGAGAAGGCCGCAGCATTTGATAGCCTCCGTCTTCCGAAGCGCCCACACGGCCGTAAGGAACGACACCTCACTTGGTACAGTGGAAACCCATGCCAAGACACGCCCTGCCTGCCTCCAGGGTGCCCTGGGTTTCTTGGGAACCGATGGTGTTGCTATAGCAATCGTGACGATCTCACACGACAAATCAATTGACGCCCTGGGATCTCAGGGTTGGGTTTCTTGTGGAAGGTTTCTTGTGGTCGAGATCCTACTGAATGATGGCCTCCGTCTTCCGAAGCGTCTACGCGGCCGTGAGGAACGACACCTCCCCTCGTAGCATGCCAGAAGGCCGTTGCGTGTGACAGTTCCCGTTCTCCACCATTGGGAGAGAAGACCAGTGCCGTACACGTCGGTCGTTGAAAGTAGATATGGGGGGATTCTCTAATTCCAATCTTCTTCAAGCGCCCTCCTATTTCAAGAACCTCTATGCTTCGGCTGTATTTTGCTATTCCCTGGGAGAGTCCGAGCCCAATCTGTATTGTCCGAATCCTGCTCCATGTTTCTACCTGCTTCTTCCGACCGACTTGCAGTTCGCACCGCCTCGCGGAAGACGCGGTCTTGGAGGCCCGCTTTTGAATTTGAAAACAATTTTTCGAATTCAAGAAAATAATTTTCGAATTCAAAATCCAGTTGTGGGAATTCAGAAACCTGTTTTTTGAATTTTTGTTTTTTGAGTTCAAGCGCCAGCTTTTTGAATTCAAAGGCCGTCCTTTAACGCCATTCCGCCGACCTTCAGGAGGAGTGAGAGCCCGTGGAAGTTGCTAGGAGGGCGTCGTGGTGCATAATGACGTGCCCACGCATGGCGCTTCCCAGGGAGGGCCCCGCCTCCGAGGGTCCAATGAGGCTGATGCCTCTTCCTCCGCGGAAGGCGGTGGATCTCGCCCCCCAAGAGATGGCAAGGTTTTTGGTTCCGGGATCAAAACGCGACAGAATTATCGGTGTTTGCGTGCCAGGGCATTTTCTTTTGCGGAACTGGGCGCGTCTGGCGCGGACGGTTGCCGCCGCAAAAACTGCTCGTTCAACGCTGGCGCCGCGCAAAGGCGGCGCCGAACAGGCCGTGTGTGGACCCAATGTTGGGCCAATCATTTCGCGCGCCTCTGCAGGAGGCCCGCGGGGCCGCCCTGCGAGGGGCTTGGTCTACACTCTCCGGGCCGTTCGGTCGGCAACGCGGCCCTGGAGTTCGGTGATTTCAGGGCAGGATCGACTTCATGCTGGGTCGACTGTGATTTTCGTTGTGATTTTAGGTCGGGGCGCCAGAGTCAGAGGAGGAAGGCATACGGATACCGCTACCCTTGGGTTTCCTGGGAGGCCCTCGTCACCACCGCTGGATTCGCCTCGAAATCCCGGTCAGAAAGGACCCCAGGAGAGGTCGGGGGAGTAGCGGTATTGGTACCTTTTTGGCTTCCCAAAAGACATCAGAGGGTAGAGTTACCAATGAACAAACAAATTTCGATCCAGGAGTTCTGCGTTTAGCCGCTCCAGCACCCCGCAGCTTCAGAAGCTGGAGCGCCTGCATAAACAGGACAAGGTTAAATCCGCTAGGGCGTTCCGGAACGCTCTCAGAGCGTTCTGGAACGCTCTGAGAAGGCCGCGGTGCCCGAGACATCCTCCATAGCCGCCCGACCTCAAAGATTCCCGACTCATCCTCACCCGGTGTTTTCTTCGTTCTGTCTTCGTCTTACCGTTTGTCACCAGAATGCGTGTCTCCTTTTGTAGTATAAGTTTGCCCCGACTTGTCTTGCCTTTTGTTTTATGTTCCACTCTCGCGCACGGCCCGATGCGGCTGACCCTCAGGGCAGGCATCCGTGCGCTTACCCCACATCTGGGGCGCGGCTTGCCACCGTCCAGGCGCTGCCTGCACCTGGGGTGGTAGGTCGCGTCGTCCTTGTGTGGGTGGTCGATTGTGTATCTCTGACTTGTGCTTTCTTGTTTATGTCTTGATTATATCTCTGATGTAGTTGTGCCGATCAGTTCATTTCAGCCTTGGCCGTGCCCCCCGCCCGCACCCCTCCCGTCGCCCGACCTGGGCCCAGGGGGATCGTTGGGCGGGGGCTGGGGCGCCCTACGGGGATATGGCCTGCGGATTACCCTTGAGCCCTTGGAGCCCTCTGCATCTGGGTTCTGGGCATCTTGTTTGCCAGCCTTGTGCGTACGGCCCGATGCGACTGACCCGCGGGGCGAGCATCCGTGCGCTACCCCACATCTGGGGCATGGCCTGCAACCGTCCTGGCGCTGGCTGCACTTGGGGTGGCAGGCCGTGCCGTCCTTGTGTGGGTGGTCGAAGGCTCTGACTTTTGCTTTTGTATTTTGTGGATGAGGTGACCAGTTACCTCATTATCTTTTTGGCCGTGCCCCCCCTGCCCGCACCCCTCCCTCGCCCTGCTCGCCTGGGCGCTTGGGGGATCGTTGGGCGGGGTGGGGCGCCCTTAAGGGGCGGCCTGCGGATTACCCCTCGAGCCCCTTGTGCCCTCTGCAATGCCCCAGGGCTGGGCTTCGTGGGTGAGGGGCCTGGCCCAAGAGCGGCCGTGGCCCCGTCTCGTCTGTTTTGCGTGAGGTCAGGCGAGCCTAGTTTGGCTGACCTCCCAACGGACCACGAACGAACGAACGAAGGAGGAAGAAACGGACGAGAATGAGGAGGAGGAGGAGGAGCAGGAGGAGGAGGACCAAGAAGAGGAGCAGGAGGGGGAGGAGGAGGAGGAGGAGGAAAAGGAGGAGGAATAGGAGGAGGAGGAGGAGGCGACGGGAAGCAGGAGGAGGAGGAGGAGGAGCAGGAGGGGGAGGAGGAGGAGGAGGAGGAGGGGAGGAGGAGGAAAAGAGGAGGAGGAGGAGGAGGAAAAGAGGAGGATGAGGAGGAGAAGGAGGAGGAAAGGAGGAGGAGGAGGAGGAGGAGAAAAGGAGGAGGAGGAGGAGGAGGAGTCCTGGCCCACCTCGCCGTGGGCGACACGCATCTCCGCATCCGCGTCTTCACGGGGGCGCGACGGGGCAAATTCCTCCTCCTCTTCCTCTCCCTGCTCCTCCTCATCCTGCTCCTCCGGCTCCTCCTCCTTCTCGTTCTCCTCCTCCTCCTCCTCCTCCTTGTTGACGTTGCGCAGACATGGATCGGAGATCGGACACATATGATGATATTATTGTGTATATATATATATATGTATAACTATGCCTATATTTTTCATAAACGTATGAACGAGTTGAACAAACTGCACCAGGTCCCTGGGAGGAGTCCAGCTAGCGGATTTGGCCTCCATCCCCCCTCCTGAGCGACTTCTTACGGTCCCAACCAGTTCGGACCCCTTTGCCTCCAAGCGAAGAGCATCTCCGTATCCACAGCCTCGCGGGCCGTGCCCCGGGGCCGCGGGGCGTTTTCTTTGCGGATGCCCCGTGCAACATAGCCGCGGGATCGCGCCCTGTAATCCAAACCGTGAGGTCGTCGGCATGGGTACGGTCGCTGCCCCTGACCAGCAAAAGTCAGCCAACCTCTCGAGCCACGTGGGGCCGTTTCCCATTGTCTGCCCCCCGCTGACCTGGAATAAAAAAATGATGCTCCAGCCAGCTTTAGCCTTGCCCACCGGAAAGAATTTCGAGCACCAAGAAAGTACCAACATTTGAGGGTTTTCACGTGTCGGGCTTTGGGAGGCGATACTCGTTCGACACTGATTCGATACTTTTCTGGTTGCTCGAAATTAGTTTCTGGGATGTGGCCCTAATGTGCGATGGGAGCACCATCAGGCTGAGGAGCTGCTGAGCGGCCCGCCAGGCTTCGCGACGGGGCCCTGGCCGACCTGGGTTTGTGCTGACCGAGGTTGCCCTGGGTCGACGGAGGGGGGGGCGGCGCCGGAGAGAGGAGGAGGGACGATGAGACGGAGGAAGGATGCGGATGAGAATGAGGATGAGGATGAGGGATTTTTTGGATTGCACCTCTGATTCAACCGCTGGCTGGTCAAACTAAAAACGGCACTCGCGACATGTGTGTATTAGGCTAATGCTGGCAAAAACCGAGGGCGCCAAGGTCGGTGGCAGGCATTGCTGCCATCCGAGGCAGGACAAACAGAGGATGAGGGGAGGAGGGAGGAGGACGAGGAGGAGGAGGAGAAGGAGGAGCAGGAGCTGGAGCAGGAGCAGGAGGAGGATGAGCATGATGGTGATGGTGATGATTATGATGATGCTGATGCTGATGCTGCTGATGTTGATTATGCTGATGATGATGATGCTGACTATGATGCTGCTGATACTGCTGATCATGGTGATGCTAATTCTGATCATGGTGATGCTGGTGATGCTGATGGTGGTGATACTAATAGTGGTGATGCTGATTCTGATCATTACGATTAGGCTGATGATGACGATTATGGTGTTGTTGATGATGGTGATGGTAATGGTGATGATGATGCTGCTGATGATGAAACGGTGTGATGATGATAATGATGATGATAATGGCGATGATGATGATGATGATGATGATGATGATGATGATGATGATGATGATGACAATGCTGGGGGTGATGGTGATGCTGGTGGTGGTGATGGTGATTGTGATGGTGGTGATGGTGGTGGTGATGATGATGATGCTGATGCTGATGATGATGATGGTAATGGTGATGGTGATAGAGATGATGGTGGCGATGGTGATGATGGTGATTATTATGATGCTGATGATGATGATGATGATGATGCTGATGTTGATTATGATGATGATGATGATGATGACGAAGATTGTGATGACGACGTTGGTGATGATGAGGAGGAGGACGGCGAGGGTGGTAGTGGTGATGGTGCTGATGGAGATGATAGTGGTGATGGTAACGATGGTGATGATTGGTGGTGGTGGTGATGATGATACTGATGCTGATGTTGATGTTGGTGATGATGATGCTGCTGATGCGGAGGAGGAGGGCGGGGCATCGCCAGGTAGGAGAGGGGGGACGAGGAGAAGAATGGGGCGGGGAGGAGACGGGAAGAGAACGAGGAGGGAGGGAGCAGGAGGAGCGGGAGGAGCAGGAGGAGGGATGTGCTTGCGGGGGCGATCCTCCTGCCTAAGCCGAGGATCGATGTGTGCGTCTTCCCGGCAGAGCCGGGAGGGACGTGCGTGCCTATCCTGGGCCTGGGATGGACCTAGCCAGATCGATATTGGTGCATAGTTTTCTGTCGGGCGTGTCCCCCTACAGGGGGATTTTCGACGAAAAATAAAAAAATATCCCCACAATACCCCAAAAAGGTAAAAAATACTAAAAAGATAGTCCCCCGACTATTTTTGAACTATTTTGGGGATTTTTTTTTCCGGCGACAATCCCCCTGCAGGGGGACAGGCCCGACTTAAGCATAGTTGGTGCCTTCCGAAGGGAGAGGGCAGACCTATTATACAATCCATCTCCTCCTGCTCATCTTTGTCCTCTACCTCCTCCGCCTCTACCTCTCTTCCCCCTCAGAAAACCACCTCCTTTCTGTGAATCTCCTCCGCATCCACCTCTTCCTCCTGCTCCGAGGCTGGGTTCTATCCATCATCGCCGCCTGGGAGATCGATCGCTGGGGACACTGGCAGGCAGTGCATGCGGATGAATGCGGGTTCCCTGGGGCTTTTTTTTCTACCTATATCTGTGTGTATACATACGCATATATGAAAGAGCGCGTTCTGTGGTCGCTTGGAGGGGGTGGGGGGGTGTTCGAAACCGGACCCCCCCCCCCGCTCTCCCCTCCCTTCCTCCTCTGCTTCCCCTCTCCTCGGGCCGGCGCTTGCGTTGGCGGCGGCTGGCGGCGGCGGCGGGGACGACGATTTCCTTTTCTGGGCCGGCACTGGCGCCTGCGGCGGCGGGCGGCGGCGGCGGGGAGCGTCGACGAGGACGACAGTGGTGGTGGTGGTGGTGGTGGTGGTGGGTTGTGGTGGTTTGTTGTGGTTGTGGTGGTTGTGGTGGTGGTGGTGTGGTGGTTTGTTGTGGTGGTGGTGGTGGTTGTGGTGGTGGGTGGTCGTGTTGGTAGTGGTTTGGTGGTGGTGTGGTGGTGGTTTTTGGTGGTGGTGGTGGGTTGTGGTGGTGGTGGTGGTGGTTTGGTGGTGTGGTGGTGGTTTGTGGTGGTGCTGGCGGTGGGTCGTGGTGGTGGTGGTGGTTTGTGGAGGTGGTGCTGGTGGTGGCGGTGGTGGCGGTGGTGGTGGTGGTGGTGTGGTGGTTTGTGGTGGTGGCGGTGGGTTGTGCTGCTAGTAGTGGTGGTGGTGGTGGTGGTGTGGTGAGTTGTGGTGGTGGTGGTACTGGTGGTGGGTTTTTGTGGTGGTGGTGGTGATGGTGAGTTGTGGTGGTGGCGGTTGTGGTGGTGTGGTGATGGTGTGGTGGTGGTTTGTGGTGGCGGTCGTGGGTTGTGGTGGTGGCGGTGGTTTGTTGACCTGGTGCTGGTGGTGGCGGTGGTGGCGGTGGTGGTGGTGGTGGTGTGCTGGTGTGTGGTGGTGGCGGTGGATTGTGATGCTAGTAGTGGTGGTGGTTGTGGCGGTGTTGGTGGTGGTTTGGTAGATTGTGGTGGTGGTGGTGGTGGTAGTGGTGGTGGGTTTTTTGTGGTGGTGGTGGTGATGACGAGTTGTGGTGGTGGCTGTGGTGGTGGTGGTGGCTGTGGTGGTTGTGGTGGTTGTGTGGTGGGTTGGTGGTGGTGGTGGTGGTGGTGGTGGTGGTGGTGTGCTGGTGTGTGGTGGTGGTGGTGGTGATGGTGGTGGTGGTGTGCTGGTGTGTGGTGGTGGCGGTGGGTTGTGCTGCTAGTAGTGGTGGTGGTTGTGGCGGTGGTGGTGATGGTGTGGTAGAATGTGGTGGTGGCGGTGGTGGTGGTAGTGGTGGTGGTTTTTGTGGTGGTGGTGGTGATGACGAGTTGTGGTGGTGGCTGTGGTGGTGGTGGTGGCTGTGGTGGTTGTGGTGGTTGTGTGGTGGGTTGGTGGTGGTGGTGGTGGGTTGAAAGCGGTGGTGGTGGTTGTGGTGGCGGTGGTGGTAATGGTGGTAATCGTCGCTGTGTCTGTGTCCCCGCCGTCGCCGGCGCCGGCGCCGGCATTACTAGCCGCCGCCAGCGCCGGCGCCAGGGGGGGAGGGGGGGGGGTTTGAACCTCTCCCCCCCTCCCCCCCCCGTGGGCTGCCTCTGGTCATCGTCGCTTCGTCCCCGCCGTCGGCGCTGCTGGCGGCCGCCAGCGCCGGCGCCGGCGCCGCGTGGGGGTGGTTCAGGAGGGGGGGGTTTGGGGGGGAGGGGGGTCCCCCTGGTTTTGATCGAACCCCCCGCGTCGAAACGCGCCGCCGAACGTTCCCAAGGCAAGCACCCGTCAAACGCGTTCTCTCGCATATACACACTGTCCGCCCAGGGGCCCATGACGTCGGTTCCCCAGGTCGCGGAAGCGGATAATTAGCATTTGATTAAACACTCCCGCTTTTTATCCGCCTCATCCTGCTCCTCTGCCCCCCCTGGCCTCCGACTCCTCCTCGCCCTCCCCCCCATACCTCTGCTTCCTCCTCCCCCCCCCCTGCGTAAGGTCAAAATCGGGTTCGATTTAATGATATGTTTTCTTGTGGTCTTTCCTTGTTCATACATATTGCTTTGCTTGCAACTGTGTATTCTTCTTCTTGCGATAGAGTTGGGTGGTGAGGATCCCTTCTGTGGTGGATTACAGGTTGATTCCTTCTGTGGTGGATTACAGGTTGGTTCTTTTTGTGGTACATTACACATTGATTCGTTTTGTGGCGGATTCCAAATTGATTGTTTTTGTGGCGGATTACAAATGATTTCATTTTGCGGCGGGTTACGAACGAATTCCATTTGTGGAGGATTACATTAATATTTCATTTGGAAGTATTACATATCGATCCCTTCTGTGGAGGATTACAATAGGATCTCTTTTGCGGAGGATTACAATAATATTCGTTTTGTAACGAATTTCAAATTGATTCTTTTTGTGGGAGGCCCAGCTGGTAGTGACCCAGGTCCCAAAAGAAAATATCAAGAAAGTTGGAAATCATTGAGAATTGATGAAATTATACGACTATCAATCGTTTTTTTTGAGGTTCGTGACCCAACACATACAAAAACACAGCATGTTCTATCACCTGGGGGGCCCAGACCAAATAAAAAACATAGCATGTTGGAGACCTGATGTATGACAACGTTGTGGTTTATATGGTTTTGACTCCCAGGTGATCGGGATCCAGCTGTGTTTTTATATGTTTTTGGGTCCCGAACCTAAGAAACGATTGGGGGTCGTATAACTTCGTCCATGTTAAATGATTTCAATGTTTTTGTTTGTTTTTTTGGGACATGGGTCACTACCAGTTGGGCTTGCCACGAAAGGAATGCATTGGTAATTCGCCACAAAATGAATCCCTTTGAAATCTGCCACATTAGGAATTCATGTGTAATCAGCCACAAGAGGAATCCCGTTGTAATCCACACAAAAGAAATCCATGTATAATCCGCCACAAAAGGAGTCCCTTTGCAATCTGCCGTAAAAGGAATCAATGTGTAATCCGCCGCAAAAAGAATCAATTTTGTAACCGTCCACAAAGAAAACAGTTTGTAATCCGCCACAAAAGTAACCCATGTGTAATTCACCACAAAGAAATCCATGTGTAACCCACCACAGAAGGAATCCATTTCTAACCCGCGACAGAAGGAATCCATTCGACATCGATTACAAGAGAAAATCATTGATATGGAGCCGGAAAAAACTGATATTATATTTTGACAAGGGGACACTGCTAACGCTTACCGCTGCTCACGAGAGTTTTTTGGGACTATGAAAAGGGGAAGATTATTTGCATTTGTTTGGGAAAGTTCTGGGCGGGCCGGAGCACACAAATATGATCTTCCGGATCGCTTTGCGCAGAACATCGTTGTTGCATGTGTAAGTTTCAATACCACCTTTAGCACTTTTTGAGGGTATGTGTTTCCAAAAAATTGGGGGAGGGGGGGGGGGCGGCGATTTGGGTGTGTTTTTGGGGTGCCTTACGGGTGCCTTCGGGGTGCCTTGGCAATGACACCGTTGGGCCGCTTGAAACCAAGTTGTTCTCATAGTCGCACATTTCAATAGCACGTGCCGCATTTTTCCAGAAGGTGTTTTTTCTTGCAAATCGGTGTGGGCGATTTGCGGGTGCATTTCGGGTGCCTTTCGGGTACCTCACGGGTGCTTTGCGGATGCCTTGGCAATCGCATCCTTGGGTATATTGGGCAAAGCGTTGTCTTTCGTAGTCGCAAGTTTCAATGACACATGCTGCACTTTTCGAGGATATGTTGTTCCTGGAATTTGGTGTGGGCGGTGTGCGGGTGCGTTTTGGGCTGTTTTTCTGATGCTTTGTGGGTGGCTTGAACTGTACCTTCCGGGCCATGTCGGGTGCCTTTACACACGGATCCCTGGGCCGTTTGGCGCAAGCAAAACGTTTTCGCATTTTATGTATGTTGTAAGCACACTCGCATTTTGTTGGAGAGTTTGCTTTTGTTGATTTTACACGGGTGGTTTGCGGGTGCTTTTCGGATGCCGTTACAGAACTTTTTGGGTGCATTCGAAGAGAGGTTCTTGAATTGTATGATACATATTATCGGTCTTGCGATTTACATTCCAGTTGTACATTCATGAGGGTCGTCTCGGGCCTCTGGAAGCTTCGCGACCAGAAGGTGCAGATGGTTTGCTCCGGCTTCCCTTCGGATCTGGATCGGTGCAGCCAGTTGCGTGCCGCGTTCCCCAATTTAAAGTGCGTCAGCAAAGACTTGCTGCACATTGCCCTCAAGGTCGAGCAGGCGTCCAATGAGAGGACGACGGTGCTCTACCAGCGTACGTAGATGCATTGCTAAACTTCGCCTCGGGGGATTTGGCAGATCTCGTTATTCCCAGTGTAGTGATCGCTCGGGGTCTGCCAAACTGGCGGCCGCAATCGCTGTTATGAGGCCGTTAGATGCGAGGCGTCTGTACGATCGCATCCAAAACAGCAGCAGATACGCGGAGAAACCGTAAGACCTCATGTCCGACTTCGTTCAGGACTTGGCAGCGACTTGCGCAACGCACCCAAACATGATGCAACGCAAAGCATCCAATAATGCTACGTTGCTTAGCAGTTTGGAACACGCGACGGCGGCGCAGGAGCTGGGATACATTCAAAACTTCTGCAAGTACGTCACCAACAACGCAAACTATGAAGTGATAGTTGGAACGACTCGCAACGAAGCGTTCCACAAGCAGCTGCAGGCCTTTCACAGGAACGTCATGTGGCAACTCAACGACATGCTCTGTGCATTGCCACGGCCGCGAAGTTGGCAAAACTATTCATCGGCTTCTTATCGAAATTCCATGATGACCAGTCGCATAAGTTTGCAGGGCATGATATGCTGGCTCAGTTTCCCCCGTTTCTTTTAACAGAGACACCTTTTTTTCACTTCGTGCCCCGCATGAGACATGCAGTAGCTGCGAACGCATCAGTCGACCAGGCCCCGCTGCCCTCAAACGCAAATATTGCTCGCAAGCGCCCAGCATCTGCGATGTAGGTACCACTGCTTTTCGCAACTTGGACGCGTATGTCCTTGCTGGTTGTTGTTGTTGTGTATGAAAACAATTTTTCTTCTCAACCTGATCGCACGCGTCTGCTTTGTTGCACTGACAAACGTAAGGAAACAGAGTCGTTCAACAGATCCATAGTTTGAGTCCACCCCCTGCATTTATATCCACCTTTTCCACCCCGTCCTCCTCCTTTTCCTCTTGCTGTTCCTCCTCCTGTTCCTCCTCCTTCTCCTTCTTTTTTTCCCTCCTCCATCCCCCTGCATTCCCCCCTCCCCCCCGCTCCCCTTCGGACGGAGGACCGCGGCCGCCCTGCGGCGCGAGCTGGCCGAAGCCCGCGCCGAGCTTGCCGAGGCGCGTGGCGCGCTGCAGCACGAGGACCCGCCGCTCCGCCTCTCGGGGCGGAGGGATGGAGGACGCATGGCGCAACTCGGTGGGCGAGCTTCGGAACAAAAAGGGCAGTGACAGTGCTCCTGTGCGTCGAATGCCCGTCCGATCCAGGACGACCGGCATGATATGAACGGATGCCTCCTGGTTTTGCGCCGACTGACGCAGGTCTCGCCAGACAGAGGCCGAGGGCGGATGTCGGGGAGCGCAACGCTCCGGACAGCAGGCCCGGCCAGGCCCCGAGGCCACATGCGCTTGGCAGGCATTTGTCCTCACAGGGCAGGCCGCGCCGCTCACGAAACAGGGGTGGTGGGACGACCTCCCCCCTAGCATTAAGTCGGGCCTGTCCCTCTACAGGGGGAAGATTCAACAGTTGTCAAACAATAGTCAGGGAAAGATGTTTTGACAATGTTCGACCATGTTGGTGTATTGTTTGCCATTTTTATTATCGTCGAAAATCACCCTGTAGGAGGACAGGCCCGACTTAACCCTAGCACGTTCCGGGGAGACCCCGACTGGAAAGACAAAGCGGCTGTGCGGTGATCCGGCCGCCGAAGGGCCCGTCTGAACACCCGCGGCAGGAGGAGGGTGGATGTCAGGGGGGAAGAGGTAAAATACTGCTGCCCTTGCTCGTTTTCGCCTTTTTTCTGGGCCTCCTGGGAGGCCCTCGTCGCCACGGCTGGATTCGTTTCGAGATTGTGGTCAGAAGAACGTATTGGTGGAGTAGCGGTGTCGGTGCCTGTTCGTTCCCCCATTGAGGAAGTGGAAGAGACAGAGGAAGTGAAGGAGGAGGAGGAGGAGGTGGAGGTGGAGGAGGAGGAGGAGGAGGAGGAGGAGGAGGGTGGATGGAGGATGAAGCACGAGGGGTAGGGGTGGAGGATGGAACGAGGACCCGCCGCTTCCATCTGCGGGGTGGAGGATGGAGGACGCAAAGGAGGGGGTGAGGGGGGGGGATGGAAGATTGTTGTTGGATGAACCTCTACAACTTTCCGCCATCTCAAGCTGTATGTCAAGGTGTTTGCTGCGTTCCTGCTCTGAACGCACACCGCCTGAGTCGGCGGAGAACTTGAGAGATCCACCCAACAAACGGGCTGGAGCTCGAGGGCCCGCCGTTCAACTCATGGGGTGGATGATGGAGGACGCCAAGGGGGGCAGGATCGGGCATTGAGAGAACGCCCACCCAGACAAGTCGACTGAGAAAATCTGCACCGGTTCACTCGACATTGGCATTCGAATGTGCTGGTGCAGTCCCCAGCAGGTTTCGCTAATCGACGTATGCTCTGGCCGCTCCCCTCTTGAGGCGGAGGATGAAGGACGCCGAGGGGGGGGATTCGGTAGCAAGTCATAAGAATCGCGTGTGTCCTCGTAGTTTCGCTGTTAGAGTGTATTCGCGTGCGCTAGCGTCAAGTAATGAGAAGAACGCGCTGACTTAGCGTCGGTTCTTCGCCGCGGTCAGCGTCGGTCAGCGCCGATTCGCAAGAGCCAGCACGATAGCACAGGAGGCTCCCATGAGTTGCCACTCACCAGCGGCGAGCGAGGGGGGGAACGTGAGAAGGAGAAGTCCTTCTCAGAAGGCTCGGAAGTCCCCCCGGCCTTCTGAGAAGTTGCCCTAAGGCTTCCCCAGAGACCGAAACAGCTTCTCAGAAGGCGCGAGGGCTTCTGAGAAGTCCCGCCGCCTTCTGACAAGGCCTTCTCCTTCTCACTTCCCCCCCTCGCTCGCCGCCGAACCGAAGAGGACGCCGAGGGAGGGGAGGAGGGGGAGCACGGAGGACGTCGAGGGGGAAGGCCGCATTCACAGCGTGGCGGATACTCTGGACATCCACGCAGTGCCGCTCCCCCTCGGAGAGCCGGCGGGTGCGCAATCCCCGCGGCCAGGCGGCGAGGGAGGTTGTCGAGGGGCAGGAGGGGGGGAGGAGGATGAAGAGGAGGGGCTCGGCCGAGCCAAAAGACGCCACGATCACCTGATCCAGGTCCGCACGACGTCAAGAGGAGAGACTCGGCCGGGCGCTTCTTTGCAGCCTCCCCCCCGACCCCCCTTTTCCCTCCCTCCGCGTGTGCGCTGGCGTCGCGGGCCGTCCTTCGTCGCCGCCTCGTCGTGCCTCTCCCTCCTCTCTTCCCGGCGCTACACAGTCATCTTCCATTGGTTTCCGCCCTCTCCCCCCATTGGCACATGCCCCTGGCGGTCCCCCGAGAACTGCGCCTTAACGGGGAGGAGGATGGAGGAGGTGGAGGGGGAAGAAGAAGAGCAGTATGGGGAGCTACGGGGAGGATACAAAGGAAAGCGGGGATCATGGGAGGAGGATCGGAGGAGGAATGTGACGAGGACGATGAGGGCCATCTACACATACCTATGTATATATATATATATATACATACTTATAGGTGCGGTGATGCGGTGACCCTCCGATCCGATCTACAGCCAAGATGCGGAAAGACTCGACGGCGAGCGAGGGGGGGAGGTGAGAAGGAGAAGGCCTTGTCGGAAGGCGGCGGGACTTCTCGGAAGCCCTCGCGCCTTCTGAGAAGTCGTTTCGGTCTTCGGGGAAGGCTTAGGGCAGCTTCTCAGAAGGCCGGGGGGACTTCCGAGCCTTCTGAGAAGGACTTCTCCTTCTCACGTTCCCCCCCCCCTCGCTCGCCGCCGAGTCAAGATGCAGAACGACGGACTCGTGCCCCCCTGCGCTCCTGGGGCCAGGGGAGGCACTCGTGCCCCGTGCGGCGTCCCTTGTGGCAGGCAGGGCGCCGTCGGAGAAGTCTGGGACCTCCTCCTCCTCCTCCTCCTCCTCCTCCTCCTCCTCCTCCTCCTCCTCCTCCTCCTGGCCGGTCGCGGGGGAGGCCGGGGGGCTCTGAGGGTCGACGCGGGTGCGCCCGTGGGGCGGCGCGTCGGCCGCCCCACCCTCCAGTCAGGAGCAGAGCAGGGACGCACGCGCCACGCGAACGCACGCGGGCTTCGAGCGGCGCGCGGCGCGAGCGCTCGTCCTCCGGGGGCGGCCTCGCGAGTGGAGGAGCTCACCACCTGCCAAACCACCCCAACCCAACCCGAAGGCCTCAATTTGCCCTCCATTTCCAGTGGGGGGGGGTCGGGGAACACTGAGAAAACACATCTGGAACCCGTGCCCCCCCCACCCGAAATTCGGGTCTTCGGGTTGGGTTGGGGTGGTCTGGTAGGTAGTCAGGAGAGGCTGGGCGCCTGCGTCCCTGTGGGGCCCCCTGTCTCGGCCGCGGCGCGGCTGTCTCGACCGGGCCCGCTGAGGCGCCCGCGGGGTCGAGCGATGTGTGGGCGATGCCCACCGAGCCCCTTCAAACGACGCGAAGATCGGGACAAAACCGGATCGGGATAACTCGAAATCCCTCAGAATCGGCGGGTTTGGAGGACGTATTGGGCGCCGCGGCCGCTCCAGAGCGTTCCGGAACGCTCTGAGAGCGCTCCGGAACGCTCTGGAGCGATTTATCCCGATGCTAGCCTTGTTTTACCCCCGTGACGTTTGTCCCCAATGATGCGCGCGCCAGGACTTGTGTACAAAAAATGGCAGGTGACGCGGGGTGGGCAGATGGTGGCTTAGGCAATCGTGTCCGAATGCATTCGATTGTGCTGTATAGCATGATGCCTTGTAGCGACTATTGTGTCACTAGTATGCGTTGTGCTGTTGTGTGTTTTTGCTCCAGGTATGTTATGTACTATCTGCATCGACGATGTCATAGTGTGTCGTTTTATTGTGTGGTCAGCTGTGTTCTGATCTGCTCGATTTTCATAAACACTATCACTGTTCCTCTATTCTCTCGGGCCGCAATGATATAATGTGTTGTTACGGTCTAGCTTAATCCAATATTGCGCTGGTGTATCCCACACGCGCGAGAACATCGTATTACACGTTTTTCTGCTATACGGTTTGGTCTCAGCGTCCACTATATTGTGGCATATCATGCTTTGTTATGTTTGCTTCCCTTTTCATCCTAGGCGGCGTTCTTATAGCGTGATGTGTCCGGTTCTGACCTTGGCACGCATGTCTGATTATATAGGACTCCATTGATCGGTCGTTGTTGTAGTATATTATGTAACGTTATGTTCGATTTCGCATTGTTCGGTACGGCTACTATTCTGTATTGGTCTCGACTGCCGTCGTGAAGTCGTGACGTCTGTCTCGTCAGATCTGTCGTCTAAAGCGCTGCTTCTGTTCGTCCTTTGGCTAGCCTTACGTCGGCGCGCATGTTGCGTTTCATAGGGCGCCATCAATCGGTCGTTGTTCTATTCCAGCGTACTCGCTTATTTCCTGTTCAGGTAAGTCTCTATATCATATAGTACGTGTTGTTATGTTCTCAACGGGCCGACTTGACGTCGTGACGCCTGTCACGCTTGATACGCGGTGGCATCGGTCATTGTTGCGCCTGTCTGTTCTTGTGGTCAACCTATTATTGGCGCGCACGTCGCGTTTAGTATGCCGCTGTTGATTAGTCGCTGCTGCTTTCGCCCCTGTTATATTGCGATGGCCTGACGGTCAGTGCCGCCGACCCAGAATGATGTCGACGACAGCGACAACGACAACGACGAGCTGATGAGTTTGCTACAAGCTCGGGACATGGGGTCGGTGGTAGAGGGAGGTGGAGGCGGAGGAGGAGGAAGAGGAGGAGGTGTAAACCCACGAGTCATCAGCGATGTTGGAATTAGGCCTCCCTCCAAGCCTCCTTTTTATAGGCTGTTACAGCGGTTCATCTCCATTGCGGGAACTGCTTCGCTGGACGACAACAGTCTGAAGGTCCTGAAGCATGCCAAACCATTGTTCGCGGGATTTCAACGCCACGTATCAACCTCACGGTTGCGTCTTGACGATCTGGAATCATGCGAGAGCGCCATTTTGGGGGTTTCAACACCGCGAATCAGCATACCTGTTGCACCCGCACAATCCTGAATCCTTCCAAAACGCAATTTCTGGCACGTTGATCATGGAAATCCACGGGGCTCTTCCAAATGTTGAAAACGAATGTGCGCGGCGCTGAGGCGAGAGCCACATTTTGAAAAAGAACCGCCGCCAATCCGTGATACTCTGTCAATTGTTCACAACGGATCTGCGCGGCGTTCGGGCGAGAATCACATTCTGAAAACGACCCGCGCTCAAGCCGTGAAACTCTTGCAAATGTTTAAAACGAATGTTCGCGGCGCCAGGGCGAGAGCCACATTGTGGAATCCAGCCGCCCTCATGCCGTGAAGTTCTTACACATTCCGAAGACGGATTTACGCGGTGCTAAGGCGAGAGCCACATGTTGAAAACGACCCGCCCCCGATCCGTGAAGCTCTTTAAAAAAACGAATGTACGCGGCTCAGGGCGAGTGCCACATTTTCAAAACCGCCCGCCCTCAATCCGTGAAGTTCTTGCAACTGCTTAAAACGAATAAGCGCGGCGCTAAGGCGAAAACCACATTTGGGAAACCACCCGCCATCAATCCGTGAAGCTCTTGCACATGTTTAAAACGAATGTGCGCAACGCTAGGGCGAGAGCAACATGTTGAAAACCACCCGCCCTCCGTCTGTGAAGCTGTTGTCACTTTTCAAGCTTCAGGCTCATGAGTGTTGAGGAGGTCTCAGGCGACACGCCCGGCCCGCCCTAAAACCTGGCCTAAGGGTGTGACAGGGCGACGTAATCTTTAAGGAGAAGGAATGGAGGAGGAGGAGGAGGAGGAGGAGGAGGAGGAGGAGGAGGAGGAGGAGGAGGAGGAGGAGGAGGGAAGCGGAGGGGGAGGAGGAGGAGGAGGAGGAGGAGGAGGAGGAGGAGGAGGAGGAGGAGGAGGGGAGGGGGAGGGAGGAGGAGGAGGAGGAGGAGGAGGAGGAGGAGGAGGAGGAGGAGGGGGAGGGGGAGGGGAAGGAGGGGGAGGAGGAGGAGGAGGAGGAGGAGGAGGAGGAGGAGGAGGAGGAGGAGGAGGAGGAGGAGGGTGGATGGAGGAAGAAGAGGGGGAGGAGGAGGACGAGGAGGAGGAGGAGGAAACGGAGGAAAAGGAACAGAACCAGAAGGAAGAGGAGGAAGAGGAGGTGGAGGAGGAGGAGGAGGAGGAGGAGGAGGAGGAGGAGGAGGAGGAGGAGGGAGAGGGAGGCGCCCCCAGCAGAAGTGCGGCAGCCTGCAGCATTTCTTCAGGGCCACGGACTGGGAGGGGATCGCCCCAAGGTCATGAATTTCCAGTTCGTGGCCAGCAGGATGCACAAGCGGGGCACCTCCTGCGCCAAGGAAAAATTGCTCATGAGGTCCGTCGCGATCGTCATCTCCTGCCACGTGGGCGGGCCAGGGCTGGCTGGGGCCAGGGCCTGGGCCAGAGCTGGGGGCCAGGGCAGCTGCCTGTCCCGGAGCTCGTGCCGGGACCAGGGCCGGGGCCCGGGCCGGGGCCCAGGCCGGGGCCAGAGCCGGGGCCAGGGCGGCGGGATCCCGGTGTCTTGAGCTCCTTTACCGAAGGGAGACCGCCCCCAGCTCTGCACAGGGCCACCCGCCGGAGTGGGGGCCCCGACCCGGCCGGGCCCCCCCCCCCCACCTTGAGATTCCAATGTCGATCTAATGCGGAACTGAACTATAGTGCGATCCCGCATTTTCCTTGGGTCGCATATCAGTACAAGCCGTGGATGTTGACCAGGCCGTTTTTTTCTTCGTCATGGATCCCCTGAGTAAGGGGTTGCTTTCTCAACGTGCGGATGCAAAGTATCCCGCAGTTGCTCTGGCTTGAGCAGGGGATCGCGCCTGCGCGCACGTCCCGCGTGGGGGTGCGCGGCAACATGGCCAAGGGCCACGGAGACGCGAATGTGCGCGCTTCTCCTGTCACTGACGAACAGCTGCTCATTGTTGAAGCAGCACAACCAGCTGATCGAGCAATGCCGCATGCAAAGTGGCGCTTGTGCAGCTCACAACGCGCGCCAGCTGGGCGAATATCCTGAGTGTCGCGGCGAAATGTGTCCAACGCGTTCAGCCACGTGCGCAGCAAGTTCTACATCGCCAAGATGGGGAACGAGCTGGAGGCGCACGCAGAGATGCTAGGGGACGCGATGGGGCTGAAGCTCAGCAGGGCTGGCCGCAGGACGATGTCGACAGCAGCTCCGACGACGTAGCGATGGCGGACAGGCCAGCGTCGCCTCCCAGGTCTGCCGCTGCCGCCGCCTCCTCCAGCGCGGGCGGGGGCAGCGGGCGCGACGCCGCCATGAACGCCTTCGGCGTCAGCACGCCACCGAGGCCGCGCGGAGAAGCAGAAGCAGGTTGCCACGGGCCCGACGGCGGCGCCCTCGTCGAAGGAGGCGATGAAAAGCAATGCCGCCCCGCTTCGAAGGAGAATGCGCGCGGGGAAGGGGGCGGGCGGGAGGTTGGGCGGGGGTGGGTGGGGCGGCAATTTGAAAGGAGCGGGGGTGGCTGGGCAAGCAGCGACAGGTGCAACCACTTCCATCTCTGTTGTTTGGTATGAGCAAAACAATGCAAGTGAACCTGCGTTGGAGTTGTAAATGCGAGACCCAAGCGCCTTCTGGTTACGTTTTTCGATTTCAGCTCCGGGCCGACGCGCGCGACGATGGTGTTCGCGGACGGGGTCGGGGCGGGGGGAGTTGGCCACGGGAGACGATGGCATCATGAACGCAGCGTTTCCCGACGGCAGGGCGGAGAAGGCGGGGCAGCCAGGCGCCCTCCTGGCGGCGAAGGAAACAGGGCTAGCCGCGATGGCGACAGCGATGGCGCGCGAGAAGGAGAAGCCAGCCACAAGCCCGGCGAACGGGCCTACATCTGCCAACGTTAAGCCAGCAGCAGCAGCAGCAGCCGTCGCGATGGAGCCGAAGGCGGAGAAGGACGCCGACGAGGAGGGGAAGGGAAGAGCAGGAGGAGCCAGATCACCCCGTGGACGCAGAAGATCATGCGAAGCAGGCCC